ACTGAAAAGACAGAAGTAATGTCAATAGGAAAAAAGAAGACAGATCTAAACATAGCATTAGAGTGCAAAGGCATTAAACAGGCATCTGAGTTTAAATATCTGGGAACTACATTTACCGAAGATGGGAAATTTGATAAAGAAATAAACATTAGATGCAGTAAAGCAAACCAAGTATTGGGACAGCTAGCCCCCCTCTTACAGCATAAGACAATCCCAATCAGCACAAAGAGACATCTTATTCAAAGCATTTTATTCCAACTCTGTGCTACCAGTGCCAGATATGGTCACTCACAACAAACCATAAAAGAAAATTAGTAACCACGGAAATGAGATGTCTGAGAAGGGCCGTAGGAGTGACTATAAGAGATAAGATCAGGAATGAGATCATAAGAGAAAAAGTCGGCACAGAACCAATTCTGGATTACATACGAAGACAGCAAGTGAAATGGTTTGCCCACTTAGAGAGAATGCCTTGTGACACCATACCATACAAAGCATACATGGAAAGAGAAGGACGTAGATCACGAGGTAGACCAAGAACAAGATGGAAGGATAACATCAGAGAAACTCTACAACAGCACGATGTGCCTATGGTCGAGGCGGCCAGAAGAGCTAGAAACAGAACCTTATATCTCCCTCGACACCCACAGCGGTAAAAGAGGAAGTGAAGAAGAAGAAGAAGAAGAAGACGAAGAAAGCAACGAGTAAGAAAGAAGTAAAGACACGGAAAAGAAAGAAAAAAGAAAAGAAACGAAAAAAAAGAATAAGCTGACAAATGGATATGTCATTTTTGTACATGCCATCATCTCATCAGGTGCCTTGCCGACTGACGTGGACGATCATGCCTCTCCATAATCCACGATCTCCTGCAGCATGTATCAGTTCGTGTGATGACACACCTCCATGCCATGCAACAAGACTGTCAAGAATCTTCTCTCGTTGTCTTCCTCTATCTCTCCTTCCATAGATCTTTCCAGTGGTCACAGCATATTCTATTTTCCTTCTTCTCATAACATGGCCGAAAATGATGACTGTCTCCTTCTGATGTCTGTGATGAGTTGTCTTCGGGCTCCCGCCTCTTTCAAAACCTCTTGGTTGCTCTTTTTGGCTGTCCAAGGAATCTAAGCATTCCTCTGTAGCACATGTAAATACAGCTAAACCCTGCAGATCACCATCATCATCATGTGCCGTGTCGGTAAGCACAGACTGTCATGTTTCCCCATTTTCGCACAATCACCAGAATCACGGATCAGCTCAATGCTTTGCTCTCGCTCCATCCATGAAGTTAAGCCATACATGTATTTATCCGTTTGCCTTCCTCTTGCTCTCACTTCATCCAACTTGTCAGTTGTGACTAAGTTTTATACCTTTGGTGCCATTAGCATTCTGATTAAACGTCCTTCTTGTCTTTCCTCTGAGCCTCGAGCATTTGCCAGAACCTCTCGTCACTCCCAACTGCACTTATCGTATCAGCAACCAGGACTAAATATATAATATTTAATTAATTTAAACACAAAACAGTAAAATATAAACAAAAACAGTTAAATAAGAAAGGACTTCAATTTTCAAGATGGCGACGAGCTGCTGTGTCATTTTTCGGTGGCTATGATTTCTTTCAAATTCTTCGGTACTTTATTTTTTAGTTACCCCAATGACGTCACGGATCAGTCAAATAATGTCGATGGTGGTAAGACTGGGTTTTCCCGCTGGGTCTCTTCCAAGGCCATATATAGAAAAAGGCAAACAATGTCTCTAAGACTCCGTGGTCTAATGGATTATGTGTCGGTCTGCAAATATTTATCATTACACAAACATTGCCTACTTCAAACAACAAGAGGAATAGAATGCAGCCTTGTGTCATCCAAATTTCCACCAAAACCAGTCACTTAGACCATTTTCAGTGTGCACTGCACATTCTGAACCATCGTATAAATTTCTAATAACGCCTATTATTTTGGCTGGTATGCGGTAGCATTCTAAAATTCCCCATAGCTAAATTCTACGTAGACCTTGAGAGGCTGTTGCTTCTCATTGTGTTCTTCTAGAATAGGTCCTAATGGATGATCCAGCTAACTTCTTGTGGTTCGAAAACCAGGGTGGTCTTCTCTCGTGATTGTATCAACTGCCTTTTTAAATATACTGAGAATTACTTTTCAAAAGTGTCGCCAATAGGTATAACCAAAAAAAAAAAAAAAAAAAAAAAGGAAGAGGAGGCAAAACTGAAGTAAACAGTAGATTACTCTGTGAAGCCGTAGGGCAGTGTAAGGATAACTGTTTTCTACAACTGAGCGAGGTTTCTAAGGTTCGCTCCATTGGACTGGCATACGAATAGTGGCTTTTTGAGTTAATCCAACGAATAGTGTCTTTTTGAGTGAATCCAACGAATAGTGGCTTTTTGAGTTAATCCAACGAATAGTGTCTTTTTGAGTTAATCCAACGAATAGTGGCTTTTTGAGTTAATCCAACGAATAGTGGCTTTTTGAGTTAATCCAACGAATAGTGGCTTTTTGAGTTAATCCCAACTGCAAAACCAAAACAACATATTTATAGGATCCCCAAAAAATCACTCACAATTATAGGACGTTGGAGAACTAGTGCCGGCATTGAGGTAGAAAAAAAAAGGGGGGGGGGGGGGGGTTCTGGCTTTACTAGGCAATTGGAAGTTCAGTAGTTTGTCATTGCCTTCTAAACAGTCAGCTTCCCATGCCACTATCGAAATCAAAGCAGAGCGGTCAACAGCCAAATAGCCGGCATCTGAATCCAATCAGGTATTTCAGAGTTATGAAGCGTACTGGCAACGTCCAAGCCACAAGCGTCGACGCTGGTGTGGAAAAAGGGGGGGGGGGGATGGATTGGTCGCAAGGCCAAGTGAAATTAATACTCCAGAAAATCAGTCAGCATAAAACGTTGTATGTAATTGTGTACATTGTGTACACCACATACTATGTGTAGTGTGTTGCTGATAATATTATATACTCCATTAAAGTCGACTGTTGGATAAAAGAAAGCATTGCTCTTTGACGGCGTTCCGTCTCGATGCTCACAGATTCTTCATAAATATCAGATGTTCATTGGCGTGAAATGGGCTCAAGTGTTTCCGAGGCTACTTGAATGGCCACAGAACTTGCTGTTTGTTAATTCTAAATTGGTTCTTTAAACAGCCGGTTGGCAGATGGTGCCACCTTGTGGCAGGTACGCACACTCTTGATTTCTAAGCAGGATCTCCCCCCCCCCCCCCCCATCCCTGATGGCCCGCAAAACCAGCACCTTTTTAAAGGCATTTCCTCGAGCACTACTGTAGTAGACACCGGTACCTTTATACGAGATCTTGTGGTGAGTACCGGCACCTTTTTGTTACCAAAAGATGCCCTGCCCCTCACATCGTGTCCAGCTAAATGTGAAGTCACTGGTGCCAATCTTATCACATTTTGGCAAAGCAGGGTACTCACGGCCTACGAGTTGTAGATGGAGTGGCTGCATGGTGGCGTGGTGTACATAGTGGAGTGGTGTACATGAGGGATGAATGTACATAGTGGCGTGGTGTACATAGTAAAGTGGTGTACATAGTGGAGTGGTGTACATAGTGGAGGGGTGTACATAGTGGAGTGGTGTACATAGTGGAGTGGTGTACGAGGGGTCTTCCAAAAGTAACTCACCACACCACTTTCCACAGGAGCTGTTTATTAAAAAAAGCATGACAATAATGTACAATATACACGGATACATCAAGAAAACATCAGCCTTATTCAACAGAATTCCCATCAACCGGTATGGCATTATGGCAGGCGAAACAAGTCCGCGCATTCCTAGCCTACTACACCACAATCTACCCATCTCCCCACACATAGACACACAGAGAGAGAGAGAGAGAGAAAAAGAGAGAGAGAGAGAGAGAGAGAGAGAGAGAGATAGATAGATAGATAGATAGATAGATAGATAGATAGATAGATAGATAGATAGATAGATAGATAGATAGATAGATAGATAGATAGATAGATAGATAGATAGATAGATAGATAGATAGATAGATAGATAGATAGATAGATAGATAGATAGATAGATAGATAGATAGATAGATAGATAGATAG